CGCATGCACATGCCCAAGATCCAGGCTGGCTACAGCTCAGGCTGGACTCCAATACAAGGACTCTCTTGGGGGTGCCTATCTCTCTGTCTCTCTAATGGAAGAAATGAATAAGTAAACTTTAAAAAGAAGCAGCAGCAGCAGCAGCTCAGTCACTGAATCAGCAACTCCACACCCCTGTTCACCACTTATCCCAATGTCTGTGACGGCAGGAGCACACGTGAGACCATCAATGAACATCTCCTGAAGGAACAGAATGATAGTGGAGAGTTTCTTCAGGACTGTCTGACTCCAAAAGTCATAGTTGTCCCACAATACCACAAAGAATCCCCAGACTAGTTGTGCTTAGCCCCTACAAAGAGAGTATAGTTCTTGCCTTGAAGCAAGCAGTATATTTGGAAGCCGAGAATATCAAATCATGCTAGATAATAGTTGTGGTCTGATGGGCTCACTTAGCACTCTCCATCTTACTTCCACCTGCAAAATAGGAAAAATAACCCATCCCTAGCTACCTTTCAGATTTGTTTAGAGGTATAAATGAAAACCTCTATGGGTCAGCATTGCTTTGACAACCTAGCTAATACCCACTGTTTCTAGCAGCCCCTACAGGCCCAGATAGAGAGCACTAGCAAGAATCCACCTGCCTGAGGCTCACCATCAGGACTTCAATGACAAAACTACATTAAAGCTTAAGAGTTTTTAGTACTTACAGACCCCGGGGGGGTACATGACACACCTGGAGCCTGAGCACACAGGATGGTCAGGGGCAGCAGCACAGAGAGAGCCAAGAATGTGGCCATGAGCAGTATGCATACTGGGCAATAGGTGTAGGTCACTTTGAGTTCGTGGGCAAATGTCTGAATTATCTATTTAAAGAAAGTTGCAAGAAAGCAGGGAGCCCAGCCTTCCAAGCAAGAGAGATGCCTGTAAGTTCTTATCTCTGGCCACCAACCAGGGGCATTTGGGTGGAGTATAGCATTGGAAACTGGCAAGCGTGACTGAGCCCCACATCTGGTATGAGAAAGTTAAACATATGTTAATATAAAGGCTGGAAGGCCTTCTAGCACTCCACTTGCATTACTTGCTGTGGACTGTGCACTGCTGGGGTCAGTGAAGGATTGCAAGATGGCTGGGTGAAAACTTGCTCTAAAAACTATTGACGGGGTAGCATTTGGAGAAATAATAACCTGAAACCAAAAGGCCATTGCTAACTCCCTGAAAACCTGGAACAAGATCCTCACCTCTAGGTTGGCTGATTATCTGAGAACCCGCCAGCTATAGACTGGGCTTACTACAAGACCCAAATGGTCAAGGTAGGCTTGGTGGATGACTTTGAGAAGAAGCTTAATGACCTGAAGGTTCCTGTGCTGGAAGATAAATACACTATCCAGGTGGACGCTGATGAAAAGCAAGACCTGAAAAATTGTGCTGAGTTTGTATCACTCTCAAATGCCAGGATTGAAAACTATCAGAAACAGCAGGAGAAAATGAAGAACATAATTCTATTTGATCAGATGACCATTGAGGACTTGAATGAAATCTTCCCAGAAACCACATTAGACAAGAAGAAATACCCCTGTTAGTCTCACCAGCCAATTGAGAATTTATCAAATTTTTGTGTCTGGAAGGAAGCTCTGGTCCTTGTCTTACAAAATCTAGACACTAAAAATGAAAGTAATGGCATAGAAAAAAAAAAAACCATTGTAAGCCCTCAATAAAAGTTGAATAAATTATATGTAAATGGTCTTCAGTCTCTTTTTTAAATACCTCCAATAATGAGGAACTCACTCCTAAAATGGCCAATCCACACTTGGACAGTTTTGTTAGGAAAAGAGGGTACACAGCATAGGGAGAAAAACAGGAACTTCATGGGCAGATGGACTTGGGTCTGAACTCTGCATCACTACTTCTGGCCTTGTGCCTTGTGTGTCATGACTCTCCCTGAACCTCAGTGTCCTTATCTGTATAAAGAGGAGATGGCACAAGTCATCCATGGGGAAGTAGCGTGGTCTGGGTTGGCTGGAAAGGAAGAGCTGTGGTATATGAACAAGTCATGGGAGATAAATTTGGAAATAGAAGTTGAATGTACCCACATGGCAGCATTTTCCTTCTGTTCAGAGAGGTAGCCCAGGAGCATTTTTAAGATAAAGTCTAGAGTCAGACAGCTGGGTTCAGATCCCAGTTCGAATCTTGAGCAACTAGCTTAACCTTCCCGTGTATTCATTTCCATATAGGTAAAAATGTAATAATCATAGTCTCTTACCATAAGGTTGATGCAATTAAATCAACACCTGCAAAGCACTTCATGGCTGGATTATAAGAAAGTATGCAATAAGCTTTGGCTATTACAATGATTATTATTATTGACTGTGCAATCAATAGTGCCATGAAAGGGTAGTGATAAGATCACAGCCTCTCTTTCAGATGCTTGAGTGGGCTGTGATGGATAGGAGACAGGGGAGCACAGAGGCGGAAGGCCAAGAAACTAGGTAAGAGGTCACTACAATTCCAGGTGAGAGGTGCCAAGCACCAAAGTGGCAAAGGTAATGGATAGAAAAGGGGAGGAAATGTATCATATGTCAGATATATCTGGGTAGACAAAACGATAAAACTTGGCAAAAAGTCTTGATGTGACTGGTTAGGAAAATGGAGCAGAGAGAAAATAGAAGAATTTTATCCAAACACCAATCTGTTTTCATGCTGAAGTGTCTGTTAAAGTTACACAAGGAAATTAATTCTGCCTGTTCTACTCAGGTACTTCTTGGTAGTCTTAGAATACCCCCAAATTCATGGGATATAGCAGGCACTGAGTTTTTTCACTGACTAGTTGCCCATTAAAATACAACGAATTTCTACAGATACTCTCCTAGTCTCTGCTCTGTTCTGGATTGTGAAAGAGCGTGCCCACCTTATTTACAAGTGTTCAAAATGCCATGTTCCATAGTCCTAATACTCAGGGATGGGGTGGTCTCAAAAGCAAATATGTTTGTATTTAGAGTGGGAATTTATTCATAATTCCAGTATTCTCTATTTATTTAGAGTAGGGTTTCTCAACCTGAACAATATGGCAATTTGGGGCTGGATAACTCTTTGTTGGGGGAGTGAGTGGGGTTGTCCTGTGCATCACAGAGTGATGTACAACTCTCAGAGATTTTACACACACATCTGACAAATTCTATTTGAATTCCTGTGAGGCAAGGCAAGGTTTTTGTTCTTGCTTAATGGGCCAGCAAATTCTAATGATTGCAAATGCTCATTTTCTGTTTTAAAATATAAAAACATTATATTTGATGTAAACTAAGATGCGATTGCTTAGAAAAGCAGCTACACAGTTAGCATTCAGTTAGACTGAATTTTAATAGCCTATGTCTACTCTTGACTTAGTTATTTCACATCCTATGTCTGCTATTGACTTTGAGGAGTTGCTTCACCCCTCCAGGACTATTTCTTTCATCTATGACATCTGGGGTTGAACCAGGTGAATGGCAGAGCTTCTCCCTGTTCTAACACCATTACACTCTGCTCTTATGCCAGGAACTTCTATTTCACTTAGGGCGCCTGTAGGTGACTTTTAACCTACTTGCCACTCTGCTACCATCACAGAAAGCTATTAACCCCAAGCCTCGGATGGGATGCCCGACCTCAGTTGCCTTCCACCTGAGCTACCTGGTTCAAAAACCTTTCTGTAATGCCTTCAAAATTGCTTAATAACCATCTCCATTCCTGATACGTCTTAGTTAGAATCTTTCTGCCTTAAGTTTCAGATTCAAGTTATTAAGTGTAACTTAGGAGAAACAGCCCAAAGCAGCAAGTCAGTGGAGATCATAGGTTCCAGTAACTCCTCACACTAGCCAGCGTGCCCACCCAGTCTCTTTTCCATCTACATCCAAGCACTGGGATAGCACCCCTCCCATAGTGCACCAGAAGCACACATTAGGAAGAGATCCATGCCCCTTGCAGGCATGTGCATGGGCCTTAGAATCAGCCAGCCCATGTTTTAATTTTATCATTAACTTTGTTTTTCTTTCAGATACGCCAGTCGTGAGACATTTTATTACAAAATTAAGGCCCAATTTAGCCCTCTTTTCACCAACAATGGACTTACACTAGATGTGAAATGGCAAGAAATTTGCTTCCTCCGGAGCAATGGTAAAGGCGAGGTACTGGTACTGGCTGATCATTAACGTGGCTCCTTACTGCTCTTATATTTAAGTCAATCGGATTTAAGCCAACCTCTGATCAAGTCTGTACAACGATTGATTTTTCTCTTCTTTATATATATTTTTTTTTCAATTTCCTTTTTTTTTTCCCCAGAGGTTTTTGCTATAGGGTACGTGCACCCGCCAGAAAGACAGAGACAGAGAGACAGAAAGTAAGAAAGCACCCCCCAAAGGGGTTAGCCAGGCCGCAGTACCTTCTCCTTCTTTCTCCTCTCGGGATCTTGGGAACGCACACACACGCGCCCGGCATGAGTTTAAGCCACCAGGTCTGGGACTCGAACCTCAATCGACTACATGGGAGTCCAGCAACATAGCCAAGTGCTGGTCCCATATTTCAATTTCTTTTATACACTCAATCACATATGTCACTTAGCTTGTAAAATGAATATTCCAACATGTATTCATTTCTCAACAGTCCAGTTGAGAATACTATACATGTAATCTTCAACAGAAACTCATTTCTTTCTCCCATAAATGCCTTATCTCTCTATTTTTCTCCCTAATGTCTTTCCTCAATTAAATTCTAACAAACTATTTCCCCAGTCAGCCCTGACTTAAGGCTGAACTCAATGATCCAGCTACCCTACATTAGCACGGGGCAAAGTGACTCGGAAGCACCGCCCCTGTGCTCGCTAAGGAAGCAGAAGGGGGCCGGGCGAGCTCCTCCCAGAACCCGAGAAAGCCCGCCCCGGTCCTTTCCCTCAGCTGCAGCCCAACACTACAGCGGGGAGTCTGGACCCAAGCGCTACAGCCCACACGATCCTCCAGCAGACAGGCAGCTACCTGGTCATACAGCCGATAGACGCTGATGCCACAGAACTCCACCAGCAGCTCCCAGTCGGCCCCGGTCAGCGCGGGCTGCTCCAGCTCGGCGCAGGCCTCGTCGAACTGAACGTCCGAGAAGCTGCCTCCACCCTGCGCCATCCTTCTACAGCCTGGACTTCTCCGCCAGGAGGGCAGGCAATGAATAGGCTTGATGTGGGCTCGTGGGCGGGGCGACAAGGTGATCCCCGTGTGACTGGCTGGAAATAGAGCACAGGGCGGGACTTCGGGGAGAGGAGGAGGAAACTGAGGTGGGTGGGTCTTAAAGTGAACGGGGCGGGGCAAATATTGGGGAGAATGAAAAAAAGGTAACATTGGGGGAAAATTGGACTTGATCTGGGGAAAGGAGGAGTTAACGAAGTGGGGAGACTTACCTCTTTGAAGAATATAGAGAAAGTCTGTTTGAAGACTGGCTGGGGAGATGGACAAAGCAAAAATGCTTGAAAATCTCAGGAATGGCATACTAGAACTGAATTTCAATATAATCTCTCCTCTTTTGTTATGCGTTTAGGAACTTTCTTCTAAGAGGGTTGCCAGTAAGCCAAAGCACTCCATACCACAAAAACAGTTAAGAAACTTAATCCTGAATGGATACTGAAGGATATTTGACACTCTAAAGGGTAGAAATTATCTGAAAGGTATCATGATACACACCCAGGATTTCTCCATTTTACATAATTCAGATCTTTGTGTCACTCAAAGCCTTTTTTGTTACTTTGAAGTCCTTTGGGTATTCTGTATTTACCAGTAGCAGATTACATCTGGCTTGGAATAAAGTAGGTAGTTTAAACATCGTAACAATGTAACAGCCATTGCTGACATTCTTTGGAAACTCACATTTCCTAATCTATAAAATGGACCAAGAGTTGTTCTACCTATTACAGTTAAAGTAATTGGACATAAAATAAATTTGCATTGTGCCCATTAAAATAAATGTTGAATGAAAGTTTTCACTTAGTTTCCATTAGTACATTGAAATGTTTCTCTTACTGTACTGGAAAGAAAATTGATGGCAAATTCTGTATTTATGCCAATTTTCATTAACTGATGAATTTTTGTTATTTTTTCCTTGCATTAAAGTCTATTTTATTCAATATTTGTAGAGCTGCATAAGCTTTCTTTTATTTGTGTGTATTTTTCATATGTTTACCTTCATATCTCTGTGTAATTAATTATGTTTTGCTATACTCCACCCAAATGCCTCTGGTTGGTGGCCAGAGATAAGAACTTACAGGCATCTCTCTTGCTTGGAAGGCTGGGCTCCCTGCTTTCTTGCAGTTTTCTTTAAATAGACCATTCAGACATTTGCCCACGAACTCAAAGTGACCCACACCTATTCCCCAATATGCATACTGCTCATGGCCACACTCTTGGCTCTCTCTCTGCTGCTGCCCCTGACCATCCTGTGTGCTCAGGCTCCAGGTGTGTCATGTACCCCCCAGGGTCTGTAAGTACTAAAAACTCTTAAACTTTTACGTAGTTTTGTCATTGAAGTCCTGATGGTGAGTCTCAGGCAGGTGGACCCTTGCTGGTCCTCTTCTGTCTGGACCTCTAGGGACTGCTAGTGATAGTAGGTTCCAGAAATAGTGAGTACCAGCTGAGTTGGCAGAACAACTTCATTAAACATTCATTGAAATTGACAAACTTGTAAGCCACAAAGGATGTTTTATAAGAAATGCCAAAGACTCAATATTATTCTCTGAAGTTAATGCAAAAAGAGAAAGGAAAAAAACAAACAAGCAAACAAAGCCAACCCTTCCTCCCATATGTTTTAAAATAAAAAGCAAAAATAATGCAATATTTATTCCAAGAGCCTAGCCAGTATTAATTTCCTGTATTATATTTTTTTCTACTTACATACCTACTGATGTTGTTTTTTGCACTGACCCTTGACTGATACTATATTCACGGATTAATATATTCAAATTATAAAGATGACAACTTCTATCGATTCAAACTATAAATTCCATGAGATTTAAGTAAAAATGTGTTTTAAAATGCTCCTGAAATTTGATATACCAATTTTAAAATCATAGAAAAGGGTTAAAAATCAAGCAATTTGGAAAAGTAGTAAAGCACTTTTTAAAAGGGGGTAGAAGGGAGATGAAACTAGCCCTATAGGATATTAAAATTTATCATAAATAAAATGATACGATGCTGACTCAGGGCTAGGAAAGAAAAAAATGACGAAAACAATCATGCAGTTTTTTTTTTACACAGAAACAGATTCATGTATTTCAAAACATAACATGTAAAAGAAGACAACTTTAAAAATTGTTTTGGAACAATCGGCTATTCTTACTTTTAAAATGAGGCTCCTAGATCATATCACATACAAATATGGATTCCAGATGTATAGAAGAACTAGTTGCATGGAGCAAAGCATCGAAACTTTTAGACGGTCAATACTAGTAATACTAGAGAGTAAACTTTCATGACCTTGGAGTTAAAAAAGATTTCTTACAGACATAAAACAGCGTAAGCAATAAAAGATGTATGACTACAAAAAAAAAAAAAAAGATTTATGACTACATTAAAAAGCAAGAACCCTGTTCAACTATATAGCATAGGTAAATTAAAACCCAACACATGGATTGGTGGAGAGATTTGTTACTCACAGAGATAATAAAGAATTAATACTGAAAATATGCACAGAACTAGAAGTCAATAAAAAAAAAGCCTCAAATATTGCAGTAAAAAACATGAACTGAAAAAAAAACCCAAATGACGCATAAACAATGAAAAGTCATTTTCCCGCCACAGTAACTGGAGAAATGCAGAATAAATTATACCTTTTCATATACATAAAATTGCTAAAAACTTTAAAAATCTGACATTAGGTGTTGGTGAATTGTCAGGGAAATGAAAGTTCTAACACAAAACAGTCTGTCACATAGTAAACGATAGTTTGAATAACAACTTTATGGGCCAGCAGGTGGTGTGGTGCTTAAGGTGACTGAATCCTACATGGTTGACTGTCCACTTGCAGTCCTAGACTTTGGTGGCTTGATGCCAATCACATGTGCATGCTTGCCCAAAATCCCAAAAAGAGGGAAAAACAGAGGAGAGAGGATATTAGCATGACCATTCCCTATGGGGGATACTTTCTTACTTTCTCTCTTTCTCTGTCTCTCTCTCTCCCATAACCACACACGTCCTCTGACATATTTTTAAAAAGGGGGAGGGAGAAACGGGTCATATGGAGTTTAAGGATGGCTGCTGAATCCCACATGGCTGACTATGCAGTTTGAGTCTTGGACCTGGCAACCTGAAAATCTCACCAGGCATGTGTGCATGTGTGCCCAAAATCCAGAGAAGAGAATGGAAGAGACGAGATTGCAGTGTAGCCATCCCCTCTGGGGATGATTTCTCACCTTTTCTCTCTCTCTCTCTCTCTCTTTTTTTTCCCTCTCTCTCTCTCTCTGTCTCTGGTGAATACATATGCCCTATAGCAAAATTTTAAAAAGAGAGAGAGGAAATAAAATCAATTTGACAAGACCTATTAAATTGTTTTTGGAGAGGTTTTTGCTATAGGGCACGTGCACTCGCCAGAAAGACAGCGAGAGACAGAGAAACAGAAAGCGAAAAATCACCCCCCAGGGGGGGATGGCCACGCTGCAATTCCTTCTCCTCCTTTCTCCTCTTGGTATCTTGGTCACACACGCACACACGCCCGGCGTGAGTTTAAGCCACCGGGTCCGGGACTCAAACTGTGGTCGACTACATGGGAGTTCAGTGACATAGCCATTACACTAACTGCTGGTTCCAAGACTTATGAAATTTGAGATACCACCTAACCTCAGTTAGAGTGGCTAAGATTAAAAAAAAAAAAAATTTAATTTGAAAGAAAAGTTTTCAACTTTAAAAAAATCAACAAACTGCAAGCATTGTTAATAAAATTCTTAGATAATTTGAAAAAAGAAAAAGATAGGTGCTGGTAAGGCTGTTGAGAAAAGGAAACTCTCCTACACTGTTGGTGGGAATATAAATTAGTATAGCCACCGTACAGAACAATATGGAGATTCGTCAAAGACCTACAAATAGAACTATCATATGATCCAGTAATTCTACTCTTGGGTATCCACCCAAAGGGTAGGAATGCACACAGTTAGGAAAACTCTTGCACGTCCATGTTTATTGCAGTATTATTCACAATTGCTAAGACATGAAACCAACCCAAATATCTAAGAACAGATGAATGGATTGAAAAAATTATGGTACATATAAACTACAAAATACTACTCAGACATAAAAAACAATGAGACCCTGGTATTTGTTAGAAAGTGTATGAATATGGAAGGTTTACTGCTAAGCAAAGCAAGCCAGACTATGAAAGAGCGGCACTGTACGTCCCTACTCAATATATACTGAATGTCTGCATTCTATGGCAGAAACTGAAGATTAGTAAGGTATAAAGGAATGGAGAGTTACTATGGATATTAGAGACAGTGTGAGAGAAGGGTGATAAATAGCAGGGGTTGAGAAAGAGGGAATCAGGGGAAAAAGAAAGAAGCAAAACAGACTTTTCCCTGTCGTCCCCAAGATCTAGACAGGAGAGGCCAATTACAAGTCATCTGCATTTGAGCTCTGAGCAGCCCCTTTCAGAGACTAGGACAATTGAAGATTTTCTGCTTAGGTTTCACCCTCCAAACCCCAAGATCTAGATAGGTAGAGCACCCTCTATATTGTCTCTGTCACTCTTGATTTTTTTTTAATTTAATTTTTAACGTAAAGAACTTCTTAGCTCTCTGATTCTATTTTGGTAATCCTCACCTTCCTCTCACATAGGACAGGCCAATCACAAACCATCTACATTTGAGTTCTGAGCAGCCCCTTTCACACAGTGTGCAAGTATGCTGCACAGTTTTCTTTTTTTGCTTTAAAATAATTTTTTTTCTTTTTTATTTCTTTCTTTTTTTTCTTTTCCTTGTCATTTTTCTTTTACCTTTCTCACTTTGCTGCTCAGCCTCCACACTCTGAGTTTTTAGGCAGGTCTAGATGCACAGAGCCAAATATCTAAATATTTTAGAAACAGAGTAATCTTCAATTCCCACTGCTGCACAATGGGAGAAAAATAGAACTGCAGAGAGAGTGCAGATGACCTCTTCCTGCACACCTTTGAATGCTCAGATTTAA